ACTAAATAGTTTTGGCCATTGTGTGATAAAAAGACTGACTTTTTGCTCGTTGTGCAAGTTGGACTTTTCAAGAAAAATAAATTTATTTCACAATAAAGTTTTCTGAATTTTAGTAGTATGTGACTAGAAATGCTAATAGAAAAGGTCGAAAGTTGCTTCATTTTGAGAATAGTTGTTTTATTTTAAGTAATTATGATTGAGAGCGGTAGTTCTTCGAGCCGGCAATATAGTTTTGATAAGTTTCCAGAGAATGAATGATTCATGTTGAAATTTTACGATGATAGAAATAGAATTCTTACAAGTTCATTGTCTCTTGATTGAGCATCTTGATCAACCAAAATATTTCAAAAGAAAGCAAATAAAAGTAATCTGAAGAGCTTCAACTCTTTTAGAAACTTTCGAAATAACAGAATTTGCGGAATCCTTATCAAATAATATAGCAGAACACTTAACAACAGCACAGTGTATTTTAGTTTGTTCCACCAAAATAGAGTTATCTCAATGTTAATATATTGAATATTGAAGCGGATACGTTGAAATACTCCGTCGATTTCTCCATTTTGTTACGCGAGGAAATATGTCTTAAAAAGAGAAAAATATCAAATGACTTGGGATAAATAGTATCCATTTCAATACTCGAAAAAAGTAGGTGTCTTGAAGAATAAAAACATGCGGGGTATAGTTCAATATTTCTTTTTGACTGATATATCACACTTTCATTAAAAAAATAAAGTACAGTGTATTTTCTTTGTTGTATAATTTGAGAAATGAATAAATAAAAAATCAGCAACTTTTTTTGATCTCAATGACCACTTTAGTATCTTTCTAAAGTATACTCAACGCTAGAACAAAGAGATTTGAGGATAGCAAAATGAAGAGTCTTAATTCCTACATGGAGAACAAGAATCCGTCACCACTACTTCAAGAAATACGAATTTCTTGTTGTGTTTTTATGCATATATATGTAAATAGTTCTGAAAAATATAACGTTTGATCATGTATCAAAATGTTTGCATAAGAATCTCTAGTGTTCAACAACTCAAATATATATTCCTATTGCTTTTTACTAGCATACATCACTCGTCATGAAAAACATCGAATAAAACTTTTTTGTATGATTCAAGTATTGATTTATAATCACTTTTGTTTTTGAAAGAAATACCTATACATTTGTTGCTGTTTCTAAAATCGTTAAAACCTAAGGTTCATATTTGGATACGAATCTCAAGTGCACATTATTTCACTCAATACTGATGTCAAAATGCTTTATCTATATTAGCGGCTTCATCATGCCTATCATAAAGATGCATCTACGTTCTGTGCGACGTCTCAATTCTGATCATTCCTAAAGAAAGCCGGAAAGGATATTTTAGCACTCTGTATCTCAAGGATTTGATCAAATTTAATTCACGATCCTGTCTGAATCATATTAATTCTCGTTTGAAGAATTCCTCACGATTAAACTAGATTCTCTTGAGAGTTTTTTAAACTTCTGACCAGATTATTTTTTGAATTGTGAATGCAGGATTTACTCTCGAATCTACTCAGGATTTTGATGAGAACAACCGAAAAAATTTTGGCAGGATTTTATTAGATTTCATTAAGACTTGTTTTAAGCTTCTGAATAGACATATTATTCAGTTCCTATCAGATTCCTTTCTAGTTTGATTTTGGCTGATCAAGTCTCTGTTTGTTGTTTTTTCCGCTTTTCTAAAGGCTTTTTAAATTTACATTTATCCAAAGACAATCGAAAATTTTCACTTCGCTTGTAATAATTGATTTTTTGATAACTTTTACTAAGTCCTCCATTATTCCATAGTTAGACGGTATTATTAGCTCTTATTCTTTGTCAAAAATAATATGTTTCATTAAATTAATGCGTCTTCGAAAGCCAACGTGATCAAGAATATTTTTCTTTTGAGGTTGTGTAACTAAAACATATTCGTTCAAACAGAGATAGAATATACTTTAACTTGTATGCTTGCGCTAGTCATGAAACGTCGTTTTATATGTCATGAATGTTATAACTACTTGCTTGCAGGATTTAAGATAAGCCACACACTACATACAACAAGTGTATGTAGCCTATTCTTGCTTATTTACGCTACTCAAATCACATTTTATTTTAAACTCTTTTTTATCCAGTTTTTTATGACAACGTGGCAAAGAGAAAAATACATTGCTATGTATTTCTGTACTTCAGAAATATCTCTAGAAATGCGTGGCAATGCATAGAAACACATAGAAAAATTTAGATATAAGAAATTTCCAATATGACTCCTTTGTGCCAAATTTCAAGATTTCTCACTCGTATGATGATTGTTCCAACTCATTCGTGCAAAAAAGTAGCTAATCTAGAAATAAACATACGAAAATACAGTTGAGATAAGCTATACATCATTTTTATAATCTCTGGCAGTAGGAGTCAACGTAATTCATGTTTCTGCTAGCAATTGTAAATATACAAAGAGTGTGTAGTTCATCTCAACTTGAAAATACATAAGTTCAGTATGTTCAATTAAGTGGACTATGTGAAGCTGTATGCGAAAAACAAAATGGTGAATGAGTAATCAGCAGACAGACTGTGGCACATTTTATTTTAGTGTGTGCTGTTTGTTTGTGCATGTATTTTAACATCATCATTGCCCATGTCAATTTTGAAATAAGAACTTTGAAATCAGAATCGATTAAACCAAATAGACGTATACCGGAAAAAAACGATTTTATGCTGAATAATTTATTTTCATCTCTATCATCATCGTCAACAACTACAATCACACCAACGTCAACGATAACTGTAAAGCAGTCAGGTACAATGTCAATGGATGAACAAAGAGAATACGTTGTAGATAAAAATCACCGAATTGTGTCATAACAATAAAGAGAATTTATTATTGACAGAACTTTAGCTGAAAGAAAACGAACAAGTTACATTGATAATTACACATGGTAATACCAATTCAGAAAGATTAATAAATTGTAAATCTGGTCTTAGAACAGCATTGGAATTAAAAGAGACAAGATAGGTACCATCTAATTTTTTATGAACTTTTACAATTAATCAAATATTTAATGATAAAAATTATTAGAGAAAAAAATAAACCACATAAAAATAAAACTGTGATAGTGGACAATCAGCTGCAACATCAACATCATCATCGATGACACCATCAAATACATCAATGTTTTGATTGAACACTCTTTTAGTTTCACCATCAACAATATCGATAAATAGTAATTGAACCACCACAATAGCAACAACAAAAGTAGCGCCTGCAGCAACGAAAAAAATAACAAACCTCACTCATCAACTCGATCAAAACGACCAAAAAATGCAGGTCTTTGCAAGCAATTATTTATAGGAATGGAACATTTACTTTAAGCTACTTGTCAATCTTGAGTAATTTCCATAGAAATTTTGCTCACTTGTAGCTTTTCATTTGAGCTCTAATGTTGCTCTCAACATCTCTTCCTGACGTTTCTCTTTAACATAGCTATGAAATGTAAATGAAAAAGCTATGCAACCTTTTTCATTTATTCTTCATAACTATGTTTCACAAGCAAATCGAAAAGAGATGTTGAGAACAAAGTTATAGCTCAAGTCAAAAGCTAAAACTTACAAAAAAAAACAATCTAATCAAGTGTGCAAAATTTCTATTGAAATTACTCAAAACTGAAAAGTAACTGCAAGCAAATTGTCTACTCCCTAATTACATACTGATTGTTCTTGTTCTTTGAAAACATTTTTTCAAACCTCTACCAATATCAACTTCTTTTGAATGTATATTCTGTATTATGCATACTATCAGCATTCATATTTAGTCACTGCTCCATTTATCTTGTTATATTTGTTTTTCTACTTGTTTGTATCATTTGAATTTTATGCTAGTTGTGTGTGTTTTTATATTTACTTATCATAATAAGTAAACATGAAAGGAAAGAAGATTATATTATCAACTCGGGCAAAATATGTCGAGTCTCAAAGAAAAGCAACTAGCAAGTAGATTCAACTACTTGTTCAGACACACTATTTCGTGCAAGAATGCGTTGAAAATAATCAAATATGAGAACGGACACTCTTATAATTAAACCACACTGGAAATGTCGTACTTTCAAGTATTTCCAATATTTCTCTACTTCAGAAATACCTTAAAATACTTAGAAACATCTAGAAATACATAGATATACAGACATCCGCTTTTTTCCTGGTTCTCACTCTATACACAATACCAGAATTGCCAGGTCAAAATTTTTGATCGGGATGACTCATAACCAATTTTTTTTTGTAATGATCGTTCTGATTTAGAAGTTGTATTGTAGGTTTAAAAAACTTTGGTAAACTTGTTGAAATTCAAGTTTTACTTCAAACTTTATAATCAACGTTAAAATGGCATTATTTAATTTTATACAAGTTTCTTCGCGAATAGAATTGTAAATGCATCACCTCACTGTATCTTCTGTGATAAATGATAGTAATGTATATTAATGATACCAATTTTTCTCATCCATTCTAGTTTAGCATTAGCTGTGACAGTTCCAAATTGGCACCTAACTCTGAGAGTATAAGTCAATTCAAAAGGATACATTAATTCTTGAGGATAGATGTTTCTTTTTCACTACTTTGATTTCGTTCACAATTTTACATAGACTTATGATTGAACTAGAGTATGTCTCTGTAGACAAGGAGAATAAATACAGAAAGGAATGAAGCTGACTGATAATTCAATTCAACTTAATATCATTCAATAAACGAAGATATGAAGTATGTACTGAAATTTCAATTGAATTCAAGTTTTACACTACTGGGTAATCGTAACTAAAGATTGATTTTGATTGAAATAAAAAAATTTCGTCCATAGAATCAAAACATCAGATTCCAGCTGCTGATTTCCTACAATGTTCCGACACTTTTCAAACTACAGTCAACTGTACATTATTCATCTAAAGACTAATTTCAAAATATTTTATTATTTTATCTAAAGTCTCAAACTTAAATTCTTCTATAAAAGAAAAAATTCCCAATAGTACACATTCTTAATTGTATCGATTTGTTTTTTTTCAATTATTTTCATTGTATGAAATTCTACAATAACCATCCATTGTTGTGTTTGTGTATGTGTTCCAGCTTCTTTATCAATCATAAATAAAACGTGACCTGTTTTTTTATTATAAACAGCTTTAATTGAATCTATTTCATATCCTAAACCAGTTTCTAAAAGTAATGTTTCATTTCGAAATTCACCTGTATAAGGATTCATATACATCATAACAATATTTTGATTTATTGCTCCATGTTGCCATGTCACAAGTGCAATTTTAGTTTCAATATCATACGTCATTGTACAAAGGTTTTGAATATCTGGTAATAAACGAAATTCTGTAACAATATCTTTTTTTTTATCAATAAGATTTAGATCCATTTTAATAAAATATGCATTGAATGTTGCACTTTCTAAACGTGTTCGAACTTCAACAATCCAATTTTCTTCATAATCAAATATTGAACACCAAGCGTAAGGATATGCATATTTTTTACCATTTTGTCTTGTATATTCTTTAATTGGATTTAATGTTGTAAGATTATATTCTTCTATAATAAGTGTAAATAGCTCATGATCACGTAAACCAAATAAACGTTGACGAAGTGGATCATAATGAAGAGAATGAAAAATTCCATTTTTTAAAGTCCATGAACTTTGTTGATAGGTGTTATTTTGCATATTATATGCTATTAAGAATAAACGTTGATAGGCGTTATTACATTGAATAGGAAAATATATTGTAGATAGACTATTATTTGTCACAGCAATAGGTCCAGATTCAAAATCATATAAATATGTTGCATTATCATCAATATAAAACGAGAAGTTTGCATAAAACCGAAATGTTGTTGATTGAGAATTATATGCATAGATACTTCCATATAGGGGAGGTTTGTCTCTATTAGAAATAAATAAATGAAAGAAACATAGTTTGATAGTTAAATATATTTACTGTCGAAATGGTTCTAGTGCATAGTAAATTGTTGCTGATGAAAAACTGATATATCCTACGAAGAGGAGTCCAACAGCTATCCAATGAATCGAGTACATAGCGTTAAAATTTGCATAGAATGAGGAGTTTTTCTCTCTTTTGTTCTCGTGCTTATGGGTGTTCTTATCTCAATTGAAAAGATTTTGATAAAATTCTGCTTGTTTCATTCTTTGTTTGCAATGTTAATGATAAAAAAATAACATATATCATTGCTTTTCATTCGGTTGTTTCAAGCATTTTATCATACGGATCAGTAGTGACATCAAGGGTAGGCTATGCCCATCCAAAACTGTTAATTTGACAGAAAATTGATAATCTGTCATGGTTGTATTGCAACAAATCATTTTCTGAATTGTAGAGATTTTTGACCAGTTGTCAATTAATTGTCTACTGCAATCATGCCAAAATTACAATCTTTAGAAATGCATCTTGATAAACGTCTGACTATACAGAATTTTTTGTTTCTAATGGAAAGCCATGCACAGATGAAGCACGAATAGAATTGAAAATTATTGTCATTTTGTTTATCATTATTTGAATTTTAAAACCTTTCTTCCTTGTCTCTGTTCTCTGATGATCAAACAACATTTCCAGATGATATCAATACGTCACATCATGATTCTTTTGTTCAACTAAAATTAACAACTTATTCAATAAATTATCAAAAAACTTTCATATCAGCCAAGCTGGTATCACAATAGAATATGGATGGAATATTTTGTACAAAATGATGCATGTTCTTGTTATCAATGGCGAATTCACAAACTCGATTCTGACCGTAAAATTCTTAATGAACCAAAAAATTTGAAAAATTTCACTACATCTTTTGATATGTTAACATTTTGGCGCCTGAGCCTCGTCTTAATGAATATTGCTGGCGTCGTCGCTCACATGCACATTATAAACATGCATTATTTTATTCATCAAACATCGAAATATCATATTTTACGTTGTTAAAGATTTATGAAAAGAAATGCGCCATTACGAAAAAACAACATAAACTGATACTTGAATGCAACTCACCGTGACCACGATCTGTTGTCATCAAGAAAAAAAAGTAAAACACAAGTTGTTTTTAAATCTATTCGAGATAGTATCGAAGTTTTCTGTGAAAAAGTAAAAACATAATTAAAGTCTACTTTCGATTACATCCTTTCTGTATTTTCTTTAGAGTTATTATTATGTTTTTTTTTGTACATCGAATCATTTATTTTGTTTCTTCCTTCGTGAGTTGCTTTTCGTAGATAGTCGAATACAGCTCACTATTAATCACATTGTTTGCTATTTTTTCTTTATTCTTTGGATGATTGCCAACATCAAGCACAATATCTTGTATTGACGCGTGTATGAGTAATTCTTTTTAACAAAAACAAAAATTATTTGTTGCTTTTTTTAAAAAAAAAATCCGTCGGTAAATTTCAAACATAAAGTAAAACATTTTAACGTTATGGCACAAATACCAACTGTAGAATATGAAACCACTATTTTTAATTTAAAATCGGACAAAATTGGTCCCAATAAAGCTACATTATTACATGCTCGAACGACAAATAATAATAATAGTCATTTATATAAAGCAATTCTTTATCTACATGGATATATTGATTATTATTTTCAGTGAGTAATTTTGGTTGTTTTTTTGTGATATATATATTATTTTGATTACAGTGACCATGTTTGTATACGTTTCTTAGAACAAGGTTATGATTTTTATGCTCTTGATATGCGTAAATGTGGTCGATCGATAATTTCACCTGAACATGATCAATATAAACATTATTGTACTGATCTTCGTGAATATGATGAAGAAATTACACTTTCAATTGAACATATAATTAAAGAATCAAAGACTAAAACTAGAAAAATATTGCTTCTTGGACATTCAACTGGTAAGAAAAATAAAAAAGAAATGTAATTCATATTTTATATTAAGTTGTATAGGAGGTCTTATTGCTATTCAATATGCATGTTCTGGTTTAAGACATGCTGATATTGATGCTATTATTCTCACTAGTCCATATTTGGCTACAATAGAATCGACTCCAATTGAATCAGCACTTATACGTATTCTTATGAACCTACATAAATCTCAAGATGTAGATGCTGGTTGGTATGGTCGATCAATACATGTATCAGATAAAGGCGAATGGAATTTTGATTTAAATAAAAAACCAATAGATAAACTTCGATTACATGGTTCATTTTTTTCTGCTGTGCATAGAGTTCAACAAGATTTAGTGAAAAGACGAATTACAGTAAAATGTCCAGTTTTATTTATGTGTTCAAATCGTTCGATGAGAGCAAACAAAACATGGCGTGATGAATATGCAGCAGGTATAAGACTTTTTTTGTTCTGTATTGAAATCAGTCGAATAGTGACTTCTGTAATTCTCACAATGAGTTATAAAGCTAGGTTGTGAATGTTTCATAGATTTGGTTTCTCTCATTACTAAATAATTATTTTAATAGTAAAGAGTATATTTTGCAAATCAGTTTATAACTTAATACATCAATGGAAAAAGCATTAAAAAGTGAACGAAATTCGTCTTATATCAATTAAGGGGGTTTTTATTCAAAGTTTTGTCTATAGATAGTTTTAATCAATTTTTAGAATATTCTGAAAGTTTCAAATGAAAAGAACATTCCTTTGTTGAGTTATTGAATTGACAAATAAACTCGATCTTTATGATATATCTGTGACAAAGGCCTATTTTTAGAAATTCAATATTTTGACGAAAGAATTTTAGGGTATTCTAAGAGTGTTTAGATCTATTTATAGACAAGATTTTGAATAAAAACTCTGTTATTTAATCTTCTAAGAAATGTTTAAAAATGAATCGAAAAATTCAGTAATCTGATCATCACGTAAAGACAAAGACCAACGGAGACAAACTATTGTAGACTTTTGCTATTCTCACTAAGATCTACCTGTAAGTTCAATATGAGTTTAAACATTGATTATCACTTGGGGTAATTTCTTTGTAAGATGAATTCTGTCAACTTTCAATGCTCTTTTTATTGAAGCATTAGTTATAGACTGATTTGCAAAACATACTTTTCTACCAATAACATAATTATTTTATAGAAAACTACTATTTGAATCGTGTCAGCAAATAAATTTAAATCAAAATAATCCACAATATTTGTTCTTCAGTTTATATCTAATGAATAATTTATTTTCAGTTGATCTTATACTTGATGTAAAAGCTATGCGACGTGTTGCTGCTATGATTGGCTCGCATGTAACAGTTTATGAAATTGAAAATGCTATACATGATATTTTCTTATCGAAACAATCTGTTCGAGAAAAAGCATTTGATTTAATGTTTCGATGGCTTCAACATCTTGAACAAGATTGGACAATGACAACCAAACTGTAACAACCAATTTATGTCTTTTTTTTTGTTTGTATTATGACAAATAAATTCCAGTAAGCATACATATCGTCGTTTAATTTCGTGTACGAAAAAAGAATAGATTGATATTCTTTGATCTATCAAAGATCTTGTCTGTATGTATATGGTTTTTCAACATGAGTTTACAACATCACTGAGTGTCGTCAGGTCATAGAGATATCCATCACGACTCAAAAACTTCTGCGATAGTATTCAAAAGAAAATGTTTTGAATGTCACTGCTCTTGCTAATCCATAGGATTCACTCAGTCGTGGACATTGAAACGCCATGCTAATTACTACAGTTTTATAATATCCTTTATTAGTAATAGTAGGTAGATTGTGTTTCGCAATTTTTCACAGTTGAATTCTTTCAAATTATACATTAGTCTTTGTATATGATTTGGTAATGTATTTAAAACTCTCTTATTTGATTAAAATCTTTGTTTCATGATTGATATATGAAAATTTTTATTGTTAAAAAACCACCATCTGTTTGTTGCATGATCAAAACATAAACTCAAACGTGAACGAGAGTCGAACAAAATAATTTAAAAAAAAATTATAAACACAAATTAATCTAAAGTAAATAAAATGATTATCTAAATTGTGTCTCGCTAATGTTTCAATAAACACAACAAACAAAGGAAAAAAAGAAAACGAAAAGTTCTTTTTTTTTTCAAATCATGTTATTTTAATTATTACTTTCAATGTTTGAAAGTTTTGATTCATTTTCTTGTTTATCATCATCCATAGCATCATTTGTTGAATTACGACGATTCATTTTTTTATTTTCATTATCACTTGTATCACTTTCATCATCAGATTTACCATGTGATGATTTCTAAAATATCAATAGATTAAAAATATTTTTTTAAATAAAATTTTCTTACTCGTCGATCACTTTTCTTATCACCATCTTCATCATCATCATCATGGTCATGTCTTGATGATGATGAACTGTCTTTCGAATGATTAGATGTTTGATCATCATCAGTATCTTTATCTTGCGATGCTGATCGTGATGAACGACGTTTGGAATGATTATTCTTTTTATCATTTGGTGTTTTTGATTTTGTTCGACGACGTCCAGAACGTTTTTTATCACGATTACTACTTGAATCATCTGAATCACTTCGATCACGTGAACGACTTCTAAAGAAAATTTTATTGAAGAAGGTCATCATCAGTTATATTTTCTTTTTTAATAAATACTTATGTTTGCGTCGAGAACTACGTTCATGACTTGAATCATCACTACTATGCCGACGACGAGATGATCTAATCAAATATTTTGTTATTTAGAATGACAAAGAAAAGCGAATAGTTTAATTTACTTTTTTTTTGAACGTTCTCGACTACTGCTACGAGATCGTGAACGACTAGGAGAAAAGAAAACTCGTTATTATTCAAAATAAGAAAGATGCATATTTTACCGATCATGTGAACGACGACGACGACGTCTAAAAAAAATGTTACACTTCAATAATTATATTCATCGAAGAATATAACCTACCGTCGATCATCATCTCGACCACTGTCATAACTATCACGATAATCATCACTAGAACGATAATAACACAGAAATCAATCATTGTAGCTTTACTCTATTGTGAGTTCGTAATCTTAAGCAATTTATTCATGTTCTTTGCTCCTATCGTGTTCATTTTATGAGAGATTTATTAGCATCTTGTTTTTAGAGATCGTTCTGAAGAGTTTATCAGCAAGTTTAGTCTTTCGATTGAGTGTACCGTTTCATACAAAGTATTTCAACTTCTCTTCTAGTATAGTTTTGAACTTCATTTTTTGTTTTTACTATTGTTTGCTCATTAAAATCGAATATATTTAGAAAACAATAACTTTTGCAATAGTTTAGATTTTTGCTTGTTGTTGATGAAATGTGTTTATTTATTTAAAGAATTATTATTGAAAAACACATATGAAGTGGATATTACGACTTCTTCCCAAACACACGACAAGCGCTAGTCTGAGACTAATATTTATAGTACTTCCTAATTGTGTTTCTGGAGAATCAAGTAACCTCTTGTGATTAGCAAAAGTAGTTACATAGTGTTTCATAATTTGATTCTGCAGGGATTGTGCTATTTCATAAAAAAATGAGCAGTATATTTGAAAAAGGAGGTTTTTTCTAAATTTTTTCGTATTGGATGTTGGAGCTGTCTGCTAAATTCTAGGCCCTGAAAGGCTCTACTCATTGGAGATATATGTAGAGCACGCTAGTCATGTAATATAACAACATGAAAAAGAGTATTTCTTATCTTCAGAGTAATTATCCGATTCCGATTTCACAGGATCTGAACCTTGAATATGTTCGGTAAGCTGGATCTCTACTGGACTTTCAGAGGAGACAAACTAGAAATTCCGAATTTCACTTAAACATTCTGTACAGATAACCCCCTTTTGATAGAGTTCAAATGTATAAAAATACTATTAATTGATTAATCTAGATAAATCTCGAAAACCGTTCGATTTCTACCCTACATTCAGAGTATGAAACACATCACTTACTCTCCACCATGATAACCACCATATGTTGGTGCATTACGAGGATATATTGAACGTGCTTTGGCATGTTCTACTCGTACACGCTGTCCACATACCATACTAAATATCAATAATTTACATTGAATTTTCTTCGTTGTCTTCTTCTACTTACCGTCCATCCATATCTAAATATAATTTAAGTAAAAACTAAAAATGATGTATTTCAAGATAAACTTACTTCGAACAGCTGAAACAGCATCTTCACCATATTTAAAAAGTACAAATGCAAATCCTGGTGGATTGCTAGAATAGACGAAAAGTGAACAATACGTTTTTTTTTATTTTGCAGGAAAGGAAGATTTAGAAGAGAAGAAATGCATAAGAAGTTAAGATAACGACGCGTTCATAAACTTGTTGCGACGTATAGAAGAAGATAAAAAAAACGTAGTAGAAGTGTAGAATGATGCTGATGCTGCTGCTTTTTTTTGCCGACCAGCACAACTGAAAGATCGGAATTTGAAATAAACAATTTTCTCTTTCTCTTAGGTAATACATAATATTAGAAGAACGGTACTTATCATTACTTACCGTGCTACCCAACAATCAATTACCGATCCATATCGTTCACATTCTTGTTTAAGATCAGATACATTTGTACGTGAACCCAAATTACCAATAAATACACGAAAACCACCTAGACAAAAAAAAATCATTAAAAAAGACACTTTTTGTATTCTTAGAAACCTTGTCTTGAATCATAAATCGCTTGGCTCATTGTCTTTTTAATTCTTAGATTAAATTTAAACACATTAATAAATAAATGTCATCCATTATTTTATTTCATTTAAGCAAAATCCTCTCTGATTATTACAATTAAATAAAAAACAACAGAACACATGTAGTTTCTTATGACATAGATGACGCTAAGCTATTGAGTAACCTTGTTTAATCGTTAACTGACTAAATATTGTCGCACTGTCTACATAATCAATTGAATTGAATTTTTTAGTACTCAACGATTCTTTTTAATTCTCTCTAATCAATATTTTAAAAAATATTTCATGCATACCAAGATGTTAATCTCCAAGCCTATAAAATAATGCTTTATCTGTATATAATTTTAAAATAATACGTAAATTTTTTTCTTGTCTTCATATACATAAATCAACAAAGATTTAAATGGTATCATTTTAACATATTGTATCTTCTTGCGATCTAATGATGTGATCCACAAAGGTCAATCGATTATTTTTTTTTAAATACTCGTTATTCCACTTTAATTTGCTGATGGTTCTATATGTGCTTATTTACACTTTTTGACGAAATATATCCAAATATTTGAAAATTGAAGACTACATTTCTGAAACAGAGAGTACAAAAAAAACTGTAGTCTAGTTTAGTTTTAATCGCGTAATACTGTCCACTGCGCAAAATAATTTAACTGGGAACAGCTCATGCTTTAAAATTTCTGGATGCGCCACTGGATTAAGCATTCAATAATATCTATATCACTGTAAACCTTGTGGTATTTTTCACTCTATAAGATCTAATGCTACCAATGTTTGTTTATTTAAAAGAGTCAACTAGTTGGAAAAGCAATGCATTCTTCAGTAATTCACCACTTTTATAGGAAAAACAATTTTTTTTTGTACTTTAAGCCTATATACGAAGAAACTAGTTATTCCTATGGTCTTAGCTGATGGTGGTTTTGGTTTTATTAATGAATTTGATAAAATTCATAGAGCAATAGAACAAAAAACAATCTCTATTCCTCCAAGAACGACGAACAAAAATCTTGAATCAAGAATTTCATGGTAGGCTAGTATAACAACAAAATTCAATTCACAATGAAGTATTTTGGCAGTAACTATTCCAACTTAGAGTTGATGGGATGATTTGCAAGACGATGCTGATTTAAATTTGATGCCAAGTTTTCTTCTACATTTTGACATGATTGTTACAATAGAAGATACAGAAAATGAAAAACGAGATAAGGTATGCATGAAAAATCAAGCTCTCAATATTCAATTGTTTATCAAGACTGAATCAATACAATGAATGATCGTACAATAGTGAATGGACCATAATAATTAGCTAACTTGCACATTTCATTCATTAATAAGCTTTTTTCTCAAATGAACAACGAAAGATTATTTTCTCGAGAAAATTTTTCTTTTAAGAGTAGACACAATTATATTCGACGAAATTTAAACCATGCCGACACAATTGATTTGCTATTTTGTTAAGTTCCAATCGCAAAAAATTCTTCTAAATGACGAAGAATATTTTTCATTAGAGTGTGTATATCACAAGTCGACAGAAATTTAGAAAAGAATGTATATCCAATTTTGAAACTTAAGTGAAAGAGCTTCTTCATAGATAAACTTGATCTTTTTGAAACATACTCTTTCGTTTTGTTACCTCATTTTGATATTCATTTGATGTAAATCAAGTAAGTATCAGATTTGAGGTTTTCAAGTCCCGATTCACTCCGTCGTCTGTGTCGAATCACTAAGAGGCATCACACATAAGCTGCGACCAACGTTGTTCAATCGGTCTCACTGCTTTGACTGATACTTTCACAATAGATAGATCTAGTAAGCTTAGGA